TGCGGATTTCGGGGGATGCTCCCACCCCGAACCCCCGGCCGGGGCCCCCCGGAACTTGTTAGAACCCCGTGTCCCTTTGTGGGGCCCTCACAGATTCTACCTGCGGTTCCTGGACTACCAGATGGAGCACTCCAACGAGTGCAAGAGGAACTTCGTCGCCGTCTACGACGGGAGCAGTGCCATCGAGAACCTCAAGGCCAAGTTCTGCAGCACGGTGGCCAACGACGTCATGCTCAAGACCGGAGTGGGGGTGATCCGCATGTGGGCGGACGAGGGCAGCCGGCTCAGCAGGTTCAGGATGCTCTTTCACCTCCTTCGTGGAGCGTGAGTGAGCGGCCCCTGTCCAGTGGGATCGCTGGCATCGTTTTCATTCGTTCACAGGACAGTCGTTGAGCATCTCCTTTCTTTTTTTCTTTTAATATATTTTTATTGATTTCAGAGAGGAAGGGAGAGAGAGAGAGGAAGAGAGAGAGGAAGAGAGAGAGGAAGAGAGAGAGAGAAGCACCAATGATGAGAGAGAATCATGGGTCAGCTGCCTCCTGCACGCCCCCCACTGGGGATTGAGCCCACAACCCGGGCAGGTGCCCTGACCAGGAATCTAACTGTGACCTCCTGGTTTGTAGGTCGATGCTCTCCACTGAATCACGCCGGCCGGGCATGGAGCATCCCCATGGCAACTCACGGGATGCAGAAATGACTGAGTCTTGGTCCCTCCTCTCAGGGAGCGGACTGTTGTGGGTGAAACGGCCGTGTTGATGCAGGAGGTGCTGCCTGTCTTAGGAAGTAGTGAGCACACGGTCAGGAGAGCAGAGAGCGGAGACTCCTCTCGAGATTTTCAAAATTAAAAATGATGATCAGGCCCGGCCGGCGTGGCTCAGTGGTTGAGCGTCGACCTAGGAACCAGGAGGTCACGGTTCCATTCCCGGTCAGGGCACAGGCCTGGGTTGTGGGCTCGATCCCCAGTGTGGGGCATGCAGGAGGCAGCCCATCCATGATTCTCTCTCATCATGGATGTTTCTGTCTCTCTCTCCCTCTCCCTTCCTCTCTGAAATCAAAAGAAATATATTTAAATTTTTAAAATGCTGCAGAAACCCGGATCCCTGTCTCGGAGCTCCACCCCTGGGAGGGAGGGAGGGAGGGCACCCCTGTGCGTTTGCCTCGCCTGAACCTCCATCCCCACCAGAGGGCTGTCTGCCGGCTCCTCCGCCAACGAGCTGTGACTGTTTTCTCTCTGATGACTAACGAGTCTCCTGGAGGCGCCGCAAATACCCTTGAGCTCCGGGATCTCAGCGCCGCTCACGGTTTCTGCCCGAGCATCCTGCTGTGGCGTCCACCTGGGGGCGGCCTTCCGCCTCCTTCCTTCCCCACGTCACTGTCCATTCCCTCTGAGGGAGCTGTTCTTCTCCCTCCTCGCTGCCTCAGCTTTTATCCAGGGCGGACTCGAGGCTGTTTATTTTTACCCCATTAATGTACTTATGATGCACGTAAAGCACATTACCCTTTAATACGTTAATGTCGCTCAGAGTCCCCGCGTTGGCCGTTGGGGCTCCGTGCACGGGCCTCCTGGGCCCTTTCCATAAGCCGCTGTGGTTTAAGCTCTTCCTTCCTTTCCCCGCGGGGTGAGCCAGGCGCAGCCCCTTATGTCACAGTACAAACCTGGCTCGGTGGTTGAGCGTCGACCTCTGAACCAGGAGGTCCCGGTTCCATTCCCGGTCAGGACACAGGCCCGGGCGGCGGGCTCCATCCCCAGTGTGGGGCCTGCAGGAGGCAGCCGGCCCATGGTTCTCTCTCATCATTGCTGGTTCTGTTTCTCCCTTCATCTCTGAAATCAATAAAAATACATATTTTTTTTTAAAATAAAAACAACAAAACAACCTGGCTCCCCTTCCCGACCGGAGTTCACCGTTCAGTCCCGGGACAACGTGCAGGCTTCCCGAGCGGCTCCCCGCGTCCCAGCAAATGCATCCCCGTGGAGCAGGTCTGCGTTAGCCTAACTGTGGGCCCGCGTCGCCGGCTCCCGGCATTGTTTCCGCCCCCCTTCCTGAGGCTGTAGGATGCGCCTGTAACCCATTCAGGTTCAGTTGTGACTGCTTCTACTCCTGTCACCTTCCCCGCCCACATCACCGTTACCTTCATCTGTTCTTATTTGGGGAACAAGAGGAGTATGACCAGTTGTCCCGCCTCACCTCCCTGTCCCGGCCCCGCCCATCCCGGCAGCCTCCCCTCCCACTATCTGTACAGTAGCTGTTCTAGTATCTTCTCTCTCTACACTAACAATGTCTCCATTCGAACCAGTCTCATAGGGAAGCAGGCGAGGGGCCTCTTCCAGCGAAATCCTTACCCCGATCACAGCCACACACTCCGCGGAGGCTGCTGCCCGCACGGCTCCATGTCCCAGGTCAGCGCTCACCCGCGGACGGGGAGGGCGCCCCCCTCCGGAGCACGGCGTGTGGGGGTGAAGCATCCCCTAAGTTTATAAAACCAAAGTGCCAGCCCAGCCCGTGCTCAGTGGTTAGAGCATCAGCCTACAGACCGAAGGGTCGCAGGTTCGATTCCAGGTCAAGGGCACGTACCTGGATGGCAGGTTCCCCAGCTCCGGTAGAGGCACGTGTGGGAGGCAACCAGACGATGTGTTTCTCTCTCTCTCTCTCTCTCTCTCTCTCTCTCTCTCTATTTTCCCTCCCCCCTCCCCCCTCCTTTCCACTCTCTCTGGAAATCAATGCAAAAAATATCCTCAGGTGAGGATTAGACAAAAAACAAAAGTTCTGGTTTGAAGGCTCCTGGTAAACACGGAGCGCTCCAGCCGCGCGTCCTGTGCTGTCGCTAATCCGGGTTAAGTGCCGCCTCTGCCCCCCTCTGGGCCGTCCTGCGTCTGCGCGAGTGACCCGAGCCCAGGAGACCTTTATACTCGGGGCCCAGTTCTGCTCGGAGACTCACTCCCTACCCGCCCACCGGAGATCTTCAGGAATAGCCCAGCTCGGGAAGTGCCAAAACGGACCGGCTGTCAGAATGGGCCGCGGCTGCCCGCCCCGAGTCCCGCGCGCGCTCCGTAAGAGCGCCTGTGGGTTTAGGCCAGGAACTTCTAGGACTGGCAGTGTGAACGCGGGGGAGAGGTTTTTGTTAGAATAAGCCCATAATGCCATTTCCAGTGACCTGCAGCCTCCAGGCCCCCTGCGGGCTTGGTTGAAGGACAGCCATCTTTCAGCATCATCAGAAGTGGGGCTGAGCCCTAGCTGGTTTGGCTCAGTGGATAGAGCGTCGGCCTGCAGACTGGAGGGTCCCGGGTTCGATTCCGGTCAAGGGCACATGCTGGGATTGCAGGCTCGGTCCTCAGTAGGGGGAGTGCAGGAGGCAGCCAATCCATGATTCTCTCCCAACACTGATGTTTCTATATCTCTCTCTCCCTCTCCTTTCCTCTCTGAAATTAATCTGGGGTGCTCACAGGCTCAATACACCAGATCTTAAAATTCTAAAGAAAAAAAAAAAAGAGCCGAACCGGTTTGGCTCAGTGGATAGAGCGTCGGCCTGCGGACTCAAGGGTCCCGGGTTCGATTCCGGTCAAGGGCATGTACCCTGGTTGTGGGCACATCCCCAGTGGGGAGCGTGCAGGAGGCAGCTGATCGATCTCTCTCATCTCTCATCGATGTTTCTAACTCTCTATCCCTCTCCTTTCTTCTCTGTAAAAAATCAATAAATTTAAAAAAAAAAAAAAGAAAGTGGGGCTGAGCCCTGGCCGGTGTGGCTCAGTGGATAGAGTGCTGGCCCAAAGACTGAAGGGTCCAGTCAAGGTCACTTACCTCAGTTGCAGGCTCCTTGCCAGCCTGGGCCCTCCCTGGCCAGGGCGCATGAAAGAGGCAACCAATCAATGTGTTTCTCTCATCGATGTTTCTGTCTTCCACTCTCTCTAAAAAAATCAATGGAAAAGTACCCTCGGGTGAGGATTAAGAGAAAATAAAATAAATAAATGAAGTTTGCACGTGGTCATCGGGGAGCGCCGGCCGCCTGCCTGGCTGTGAGGTCAGAGGGTCTCCCGGGAAGGCCTCCTCGGCAGCAGCGGCAGCTGCTCGGCAGCGAGTGCAGACACCTGGGGATGCGCTCGCTCGCTCTGTGTACTTCGCGTTCTTAGCAACGTTTCCTTTCGCCCACAGCTCCCTGCACCGGCAGCACCTTCTTCTGCCACAGCAACATGTGCATCAACAACTCGCTGGTCTGTAACGGTGTTCAGAACTGTGCGTACCCCTGGGACGAGAATCACTGCAAAGGTGAGTCCGCGCGCAAGCCCGCCTTCCTGGGAGGCGTGGCCATCGCCTCCATTAAATGTGTGTTTATTGTTTTTTAGAGAGAGAAAGGAAGAGAGGGGGGGAGAGAAAGATTGATCAATCAGTTGCCTCCTGCACGCCCCCCACTGGGCACATGCCTCGGTTGTGGGCTCGATCCCCAGTAGGGGGCGTGCAGGAGGCAGCTGATCAATGATTCTTTCTCATCAATGTTTTTATCTCTCTCCCTTCCTCTTTCTCTAAAACCAATTTTTAAACATTTAAAAAAAAAAAAAGCCCTAGCTGATGTGGCTCAGTGGATAGAGCGTCGGCCTGTGAATTGAGGGGTCCCGGGTTTGATTCCGGTCAAGGGCACAGGCCCGGGATGCGGGCTCGATCCCCATTAGGGAGCGTACAGGAGGCAGCCCATCAATGATTCTCATCATTGATGTCTCTCTCTCTCTCTCTCTCTCTTCCTCTCCCTTCCTCTCTGAATTCAATAAAAATACATTTTTTAAAATTAAAAAAAAAGAGAGAACAACCCTAATTTTAAATTGTATTATCTGTGGTGTATGTATTTGACCCAAACGTCCCCTAAAAGCACTTTCCTGGTCTGTGACAAGCTCCCTTTTTAATACTAAGGTTTTCAAAATATTTGTATTGATCTCAGAGAGGAAGGGAGAGGGAGAGAGAGAAACCTCAATGATGAGAGAGAATCAGGGACCGGCTGCCTCCTGCACGCCCCGCACTGGGGATGGAGCCTGTAACCCGTGCATGTGCCCTGACCGGGAATCGAACCGAACCGGGACCTCCTGGTTCCTAGGTCGCCGCTCAACCCCGGTGCCCGGGCTCCTTCCCGCGCTGAGGCCCTGCACGCGTCTCTCTCCCGCAGAGAAGAAGAGGGCCGGCCTCTTCGAGCAGATGACTCGGACGCACGGCACCATCATCGGCGTGGCGGCGGGCGTGGTGCTGGTGCTGCTGGTGGTGTCGGTGCTGGTGCAGGTGAAGCAGCCGCGGAAGAAAGTGCTGCCTGCAAGGCCGCCTTCCACAAGCCGGGCTTCCAGGAGGCGTTCGACCCGCCGCACTACGAGCTGTTCTCGCTGCGCGACAAGGAGCTGGCGGCCGAGCTGGGCGAGCTGGGCGAGGAGCTGGACGGCTACCGGCCGCTGCGCCGCGCCTCCTCCGCCTCGCGCTGCGTGCACGAGCACCACTGCGGCGCGGCGCCGGGCAAGCCGGGCAGGACCGACCTGGCGGCCGCCGTGGAGCTGCCCTTCCGCAACGACTTCGCGCCGCCGCCGCCCATGACGACCTTCAACAGCACCTTCCCCAAGAGCCGGTGCGCCTTCCCGCCCGCGCGCCCGGGCCCCGAGGCGGCGCGCGAGGACCGCGTGATGGAGGAGCTGCCCTGCGAGATCTACGCGCGCGGCCGCGACGACTCCGCGCAGGCGTCCATCTCCATCGACTTCTAACCCCCTCACCCCCTCAGCTCACCTCCACCCTCCCCCCTCGCCAAGGACCCCCCTCGCCAAGGACCGCCCCCCCTCGCCAAGGACGTGCGCACGCGGCCCCAGCGCATCCACGTCTCCAGCCCTTTCCTCCTCTCCAAGCGACCAAGACTTGCACCTCCCGGCCCCCTGTCCTAACAGTGACTTTGTTTTTTTGTGGTTTTTTAAAATATATTTGTATTGATTTCAGTGAGGAAGGGAGAGGGAGAGAGAGAGAAGCATCCATGATGAGAGAGAATCATCGATTGGCTGCCTCCTGCACGCCCCCCACTGGGGATCGAGTCTGCAACCCGGGCCTGTGCCCTTGACCTGAATAGAACCCGGGGTCCTTCAATCCGCAGGCCTGCGCTCTATCCACTGAGCGACACCGGCTAGGGCGACTTTTTTTTAATATGTATATTTTTATGGATCTCAGAGAGGAAGGGAGAGGGAGAGAGAGAGGAGCATCAATGACCAGAGAGAATCCCCCCACTGGGCATGGAGCCTGCAGCCCGGGCCTGTGCCCTGGCCGGGAATTCAACCGCAACCTGGTTCATGGGTGGACCCACAGCCACGGAGCCACACTGGCCGGCGGGAATCTGGACACGGCTCTGTCAAGATCTTGGTCCCACAAGAAGTTTAAAGATAAGATTTCTCTTCACATTTCTTTTTTTTTCTTCTTTCGACTTGTTGCGTAGGCCAGTCATTTTTACCGTTTCATTTTCTGACATAAATACATGTGGTGAAGGCACCGCACATATTTCGACACGGGCATCGGCCCAGGACTTTGTCCAAATGCAGTAGTTACTGTGGCGAGTGTCAGTGAAGACCCGGAGTCATGCTTCATCCATCTGTTCCTTCCTGACAGTCCCTCTGTCGCCGCCTTTTAATTCCCGGATCCTCGGTCTTTATTTTCTGTGAGAAGCAGATGAAAGGGTGTCATTTACCGCCTGTAAGTCATGTTTTGTCTTCGTTCTATTATAGTCCAAGATTTCGCAATTCTGGGACGTGGGTCCCTCTGCCAGTTATGACTAAACCCTTGAAAAAGATGAAGGCGTCTAGAAATCCTTTGAAATGTCCCCAATTCGGCTCCCATTCGCTCCTGTGAGCACAGCGTCGCTTCCTCCCGTGGTGGAGAGGCCCGGAGCTTCACGGCGAGTGGTCCTCGCCGTCGCCGGATGTGTTCCCCCTTATGTTCATGAAGAGACCACTTAGGTCCCTCTGTCCTAGCTCCTCTCCCAGCACATGGTAACCAGGGCTGCACGGGCGTTCGAGGAAAACGCAGAAGCTGTAGCAGCCTTCAGACCACGTCTTTCTTGGGACAAGACATTTTTCTAGTTCTTACCAAGAATCACAACTCCCGCCATTTTTTTAAAATGCACTTTTGACCGGATGGTGTTTTTTTTTATTTTATGGAATAGACACAATCATTTATAAACACGGTACAGAAACTCCTTGTGTTTGTTCAGGCTTTTGATATTATTTGATTCTGTCCGAGCTTTCTTACGTCGAGATTGGAGACTTCCGGGCCGGGTTCCTGTCGCTGCTCACATTCCCACGCGGATGGCTCCACGCGAGGGCCAGGTGCGCTGTAGGTCCCTGTAAAGACCTCGGTCGTTGTACATACGCTTTTGGTTTCCTTCGTCATTGCGTTTGGTTTATGATAAAACTATTCGCTGTGTGATATTTATTCTAAGTCACTACCCAAGTCTTGAATTGACCTGCACATCCTCACATGGTTCTTCGGCCATGCTGTTTATGGCATGGAGGTTTCGGATCTTGGATAGGCATAGAAAGGCACCGTGTATTGAATTATAACTAATACAGACGTGCCGTTCAAACAGGATAACTCCTCATTTCCTTTGGGTAGCGGGGGGCGGGGGGGGGGCTTGTCGTAAATTCTCAATGAAATGAGACATTGAAGCTTCATTGGGTTTTGTCCATTCTTTTAAATAGCTATGCTTTCTCACAACCGTGATCTTAAATGATAGCTATGTAATACGCCTTCACAATAAGTCTTGTAGATCGCTTTTTTTAAGTATATAATGTGAAGAAGATAGAAAAACCTGCCTATGGTATATACTCATGATGTAATTGTTTTAAGTCAGCCTCATTCCTTGTCTTACAAATGCAGCTTGGGCCCTGGCCGCTGTGGCTGAGTTGGTTGGAGCGTCGTCCCAAAAGGTGGTGGGTTTGATTCCTGGTCGGGGGCGCCTACCCAGGTTGCAGAATCCGTCCCCAGTTGGGCAGGTTCAGGAGGCAACTGGTGGATGTCTCTCTCTCTCTCCCTGCCTCCTTCCCTCCCTCCCTCCCTCCTTCTCTCTCCCTTCTTGTCTCTAAAATCAGTTATTTAAAAAATGCAACTTGGGAAAGTAAGAAGACCAAGTGAATGTAGTATTCAGTGAACCGAGGAACCAGAGCCAGACCGAATGGCTAAGTTCCCCCTCTCACGACGTTGAATGCGCCTTTTCATAGGTAACTTTCCAGCCAGCGTTTGAACAACATGGTAACCACTTCACGTAACAATAGCTCATCTCATTCTCGGCGATGATGAAAGGAAAACCAGTGCATTTTCTTTGTAAAATCAGACCCATGCTCAAAGCAGCGCTGCCCGTCTTTAACGTCTAAGTTATCGTAGAAACCATGCCGGATGCTGAGCCACACTAGCCACTGTGACCTTTACTTTTGAACAAATGTGTGTCCTTCTCAAGGGGCACGGAGAGGCCTGTGAGGAACACGTTGGACATTAAAACAGCACAACGCAGCCCGGGAAGCTCGGACGACAGAGCGGGTTCTAAATCGTCTGGCTGCTGGGACCCATGAGATCGTGTTTGTTTTTCACAGTGAAAAACCCAGCACCTGCAGTCTGGTTTTCCCCCTCCTCCTCCTCCTCCTTCTCTTTCTTCTTCTTTAATTTATCTTTATTGTTGGAAGTATTACATATGTCCCTTTTTTACCCCATGGACCCCTCCAGCGGCCCCGCCCCCGGCCCTCACCGCCCCATGGTCTGTGGGCCGTGCACCTAGGCATAGGGGGCTCTTGGTTGGTCACTTCCCTCCCCGGCCTGCCCTCCGCGTCCCGCCCTCTGTCCCAGGCCTCCATGTAGAGATGGGATTCGATGTCACTTACTTCTTGGCCGCCTGGCAGTCCGCGCGGAGAGGAGAGAGCAGGTGCGCTCAGCATTCTGAGAGCACAAGGCGCGTCGCTGCAGGCAGACTGTCATCGCTGAGGTCGGTGGGAAAACGTCACAAATCCTTCCCTAAAGTCAAAGCCATACGTGTTGGTCGTGGGAGACGAATGCAGCCCTTCACGGTGAACACGGTGCCCCGTGTCACGGACAAGAGAAGATGGGGGGGTCCTTCAGTGCGGGAGCAGCCACCCGGCAGCGCCCTCACGTCTTCCTCCGGGACGCGTGGACCCCCACAATTGTGGCAGCAGTGGGAACACCTCTCCCAGGGTGTGGGCGCAGCTCGGGGTGCCTCGTGGGGAAACGTCCGCCTAACGGTTCAACAGAAAGCAGAGGCTCCCCCGTTTGCCATCACCGAAGGCCCCTCTGGCGTGTCCCCAGCTGTGTTGGGTCTGTCCTGTGTCACAAGTTACGGCAGTGAGGGCGCCGCGTCTGCTGGGCAGGGCCTCCGTCTCGGGATGAGTCAGCGGAGGAGCCGGGAGAGGACCGGCCCCGGGGGGATGACTCCCCGGCACAGGCAGGACGGACGCTCTCTCGCCAGACGGTGTCTGCCGGCTTCCTGTCCCTTCATTCCACGTATTAAACACAATCTATTGGATCCGACTCAGGAGACTGGTCAGAGGAACCTTGAGTTCTCGGATTTTTTTTTTAAGACCCAGAAAGGTGATGTGGTCCAACCTCACTCATGAGAAACCCAAAGGCGGAGAAGAGAGGCGAGCGCGAGTCTCGGAGCTCGGCCCGTGCTCCCCGTGCTCCCGCCCGGCGCCTGCCGTATCCCGGCCCGGCTCCGGGCCAGGCCTTTGGACACAGCATCCCGTGATCTTAAATGTCATGAATCTTGTAATTGTTTGTTTCTTTCAAAGCATTACCTGTTACTCCTTTGTCTCTAACTATGGAAACGATGTCATTCCACAACCTGTCGCCACCATTTCTTGGCAAGACAATTACTGTGAATTCCCAATAAACAATGTTTGTTAACAATGCGTAGGCTTGACAGGAAGCTTCAGTGTTTTGCTTTGGTGATTTTTTTAATCACCCGAGGATATGTTTCCATTGATATTTTTTTTTTTTATAGAGAGGGAAAGACAGAAATATTGATGTGAGAGAAACACATCGATTGGTTGCCTCCTGCATGAGCCCCAGCCGGTTTGGCTCAGTGGATAGAGCATCGGCCCCCACCAGCGTCCCAGGTTCGATTCCCAGTCAGGGCACATGCCTGGGTTGCAGGCTCCATCCCCAGTGGGGGGCATGCAGGGGGCAGCCGATCAGTGATTCTCATCATTGGTATTTCTATCTCTCCCTCTCCCTTCCTCTCTGAACTCAATTATATATATATTTATATTTATATTAGTACATATGTTGTTTTTTAAGTGTCCACTGAGGAGGAAGCAAAGTAAGGCAAGAGCCCCGCCCCTGAGACTTAGAATCATGTTAGACGCGGGCCACGGAGCAAAAGAAGAAGAAAAAGGCAGTGAGCACGGGTCTGTCCGCAAACGGTTGCAGAGCGAACGGACCTGGTGTGACTGCGGACAAAGACACGGCTCTCTCCCGCCGTCCGCAGTGTCGGACTGAGGCCTGGCGCCCGCGGCCACCGAGCCCACACCGTCCTTCCCGAGACATTCAGAAGCATTCCAGGAGCTGTGGCCGCGAGAAGGAGTTTTCATCCGAAACCCAGGCACTGAGCCCCGCCTTTCAGACCCGGCTCCATCCTTCCATTGGCCACTTGGCTCTGGTGAGCTGGGTGGCGGAGCTCAGGATGGTCTCAAATTCTGAACCAAAGCATAGTCCTGCGAATGGGGGAGGGAGTTCTTGCTGCACCCGGAGTGGTTTCCCCCTGCTCCGTGTAAGGTCTCCCGAGACTGTAGAGCTCAGAAACCGAGCACAAGTAACAGATCGTGCGCTTGCTGCCAGGGGCCGGCGTACACTCCGGGGAGGCCTCTGCCTTCCAGTCGCAGCCACCGGCAACCTCACCTCCTCAGCCGTTAACTTTTTAAAAAATATATGTTTATTGATTTCAGAGAGGGAGAGAGAGAGAGGAGCATGGATCGGCTGCCTCCTGCACGCCCCACACTGGGGATCGAGCCCGCAACCCAGGC